ACAATTCAGCGAACGTAAGGATAAAAATAAAAAAAAATAGGAAAAGTAAGCACTTACATCCACCAGTTTTGTAAAAAGCCTGGACCAACTTCGCTGGGTTTGATAGCTCCATTTGGAACGTTCTGTACAGAAAGTTATTTAGGGAAAATGTCTGAAACTGATAAAGACAAAAATAACTCACACTTAGAACTTCTTCTTTGAAAACTTCAGCGGTTTTCGTCGCTCCAGAAATGACCAGATATTCGTACACGTAAGCAGCAAGCCTAAATATCATTTCATAGAGCAACTGAATGAGTGTAAAAAAAGCTGAATTTCCCATATCAAACTATGATGAAAAGGATTTTTTATAGAGTTGGCCAGACATGATGGAAAGTTTTTGTCGTTCATAAATGGACCAAAGTCATAAAACCCGGGCATAAATGATTTTACAAAAGCTGAAGCAGAAATGAGCGAATATAACGAACAATGATATTTGAAACGAGGTTAAGGATTCAATATTGAAAACAACGATGAATAGATTTTGACAAAATGTTCGAAAATCATGAAGTTAGCCCATAACTTTTGCATTTAAACTCGTAGCTTTTTATTTTTGAATGGGATGCATGTTTTTGGGCATGATGTAGAATAGGTGGCAAGCTACAGATCCGCGCAAGCAGTTTAATTTTTGGAAGCAAACTGGAGAAAATTCAGGCACTTTCTAAAGCTAGTCAATTTCAAATTTCAAGGGTCAAAAAACGAAAATGAAGCCGTTCTCAGTCTGAATGAAACACATCAAGCCCAAACCGTACAGATTGTTGTTAACAGAAGAACTCTAACTCTAAACTCTGTACAGTTTGGACTTGATGCGTTTGATTCAGACTGTGAACGGCTTCATTCTTGCTTGACCCTTGGAATTTGAATTTGACTAGCTTTAGAAAAACGCCTAGAATTTCCCTAGTCTGCTATCAAAATTCAAACTACTTGTCACATTTGTGGATAACCACCTACCCTACATTATGCCTAAAAATTGCGTCATATTCAAAAACAGAAAAGTAAAAATAGAGGTATCTAATAACAATTATAAAACTCACTTTTCCTTGGCATTTATGTCACTTTGACTTTGGACGGGAGCGCCAGGATTGGGCTGCATGCTGCCGGGAGGCCTGCGAGCAGCTTGCGGATTGAACATTCGATTATTGTAGTGGTGTCAAAACCATTTCAGATCAGAGCTTATGCTAAAAATAAACTAGGATGTGAAACCCACTAACAATACAACAATACTTGCGAATAGTTGAGTGGGCGGATAGAATTTATACTGTCCTTTGCGCTTTCAAGCATAAGAGGAAGTGAAAGTGCTTGATCGAAAGAAAAATTGAGCATCACATTATTTTCAGAGCGGAGGCACCAATTTATCGAAATAGAGATATGACATAGGTAAGATACTCGCGCAAAATAATTATTTTTCTAAGGCGATGGTCCCTTAAGGTAACAAAATAGTGGTAGTTCCCAAAAAATGTAGAAAGCTCAAGAACCGAAACCAAAAGCATATTGGA